GTAGTAGGAGCACTCGTAATAGTAGTAGTAGTAGTAGTAGTAGTAGTAGTAGTCGTAGTAGTAGTAGTAGTAGTAGTAGTAGTAGTAGTAGGAGTAGTAGTAGCAGTAGTAGTAGTAGTCGTAGTAGTCATAGTAGTAGTAGTAGTAGTAGTAGTAGTAGGAGCACTCGTAATAGTAGTAGTAGTAGTAGTAGTAGTTGTAGTAGTAGTAGTAGTAGTAGTAGTAGTAGCAGCATTACGGTGATGAAAGTTACGATACGAATGCTGCTTCTCATTGATACTCGTACTAACAATGGTAATATGGTTCGCGTTGTTACCCGTTCAGTGCCATCATTGTTAGTGTTATGATTCGTAGTTGTAGTAGTAGTAGTAGTCGTCGTCGTCGTCGTCATAGTCAGTAGTAGCAGTAGTAGTAGTAGTGGTAGTCATAGTAGTAGTAGTAGGAGCATTCGTAATAGTAGTAGTAGTAGTAGTAGTAGTAGTAGTAGTCGTAGTAGTAGTAGTAGTAGTAGTAGTAGTAGTAGTAGTCGTAGTCGCAGCAGTAGTAGTAGTCGTCGTCGTCGTAGTAGTAGTAGTAGTAGTAGTAGTAGGAGGAGGAGGAGTAAAATAAGTAAAAGGAGTAGTAGCAATGGCAACCGTAGCATTAGTAGTAGTATTGGTAGTAGTGGTAGTAGTAGTAGTAGTAGTAGTAGTAGTAGTAGTCGTCGCCGTAAAAAATAATAGTTGTGGTTGTAACCGCAGTAGTAGTAGTAGTAGTAGTAGTAGCAGCAGTAGTAGTAGTAGTAGTAGTAGTAGTAGTAGTAGTAGTAGTAGTAGTCGTAGTAGTAGTAGTAGTAGTAGTAAAAGAAGCAGCAGCAGCAGTAGTAGTAGTCGTCGTCGTCGTCGTAGTAGTAGTAATAGTAGTAGTAGTAGTAGTAGTAGTAGTAGTAGTAGTAGTAGTAGTGGTAGTGGTAGTGGTAGTGGTAGTGGTAGTGGTAGTAGTAGTAGTAGTAGTAGTAGTAGTAGTAGTAGTAGTAGTAACAGTAGTACTAGTACTCGTACTAGTACTGGTGGTAGTAGTAGTAGGAGTAGTAGTAGTAGTAGTTACTATTATTTTCTTATCGCATTATTATTATTTATCCTCCTGCTCCTCTGTTCGCATACTCGTCCACGACATCCTGCACACCTCGTCCCTGACTGCCCATCGAAACTCTGTCTTCCATGGAACACCCTTTTGCGGGATTCAGGATGCTGGACCCAATTCCCTTTTCCAGCCCACGCACCTTGTCTTTCCAGCTAGCCTACCTCTAGCACTCTCCAGCATGCTAGCCCATGATGCGCCTTTTAATCTTGCAGGACCTCCACTTTACTAGGTAAGTTGACGGAAGCACTGGAACAGGAGAATGCTTAGCGTTGCTCAGAATATCCAGATGCAGACAATGAACTAAGTGAATTGGTACCACGCGAGCCCCCTCGGAAAACGATCATGGAAGGCCGCTCCGGCCAGATCTCCCAGTGCTCCTCGCTCCGACTCGGGAAGAGCTCGCACCCGCTCCACTCCTCAACGACCTCCCAGAGACTGCTGAGATCCGTCTGTTGAGACTTCGGTTGATGCGTCTCCGGCACCTTCTCAGCTGCGGGCAGCACGACCACCACAGCTTGTTCAGCACGCTGCAAGTGAACATGTCCGACGTCGCCTCCATCTGCTCCTCTCTAATGCGCTGCTGGTGGTATTCCCGATTTTTCTCGGCAGCGGGAATAAGGTGCTTGGCCCAAACTGGGACTACAAAAAAAAGGACCATGCTGGTGATGCACACCTCGAACAGCACCTCGTGCTCCTCCTGCCAGAAGTGCTGCTCCTGCATCTTCAGATTGACGAACGCCACCATGTCGGCCTCGCCCGTCTCGAACACCGCCTCCCAGCTCAGGCCAACCAGCAAGCCGAATATCTTCATCAAGCTCCGCGTGGAGTAGGCGACGTGGTGCCCAACGTTGCTGGCATCCTCCGCCGCGCCGCCAGAGAGGAACTCCTGTGGGGAGATGACGCCGTCGTGGTTCGCGTCCAGCACCATCAGCTCCTGTCGGGTCGGGCGAAAGGGGGGGATAGCAAAGGGGGGGTTTGAGAATCAGCTCACGTAGCTGATTTTCCTGGCGCCTCCCAGCGCCGGAGGCGGCTATGTATCGAGGAATGGGCCCCTCGGTGAGGGCGAAACCTGCTGCATGCAGCAAATTTTGTAACCCCCCCTTTCCCAATCCCCCCCTTTCGCCCAGTCCGATCCTGCGCGGTGATGACGCCGTCGTGGTTCACGTCCAGCGAGTCGAAGCGTCGGAGTCCTGCCGGCGGCCGCCGGGGCAGGGTCCGGGCAACGGGGAGGGGGGGGGGTCGGCCCTGCGGGAGAGGCCAGGGAGTCGGAGCCTTCCCCCAAAGCCCCTGAGGAGGGGCGGTCGTTTCCAACAGTATGTATGTGTACATCCGTACAAATACTTAGATATGTATGTGTATGTGTGCGCATATCTCTCTA